CTTTGTAAAATGAAACAATATCAACTATTTATTTATATATTTTACCTCTTTTAACATCTTCGCTAGCCACTGGTTACGATCCGGTAACCCTTGGCCAGCGAAAATGCTCTTTTACATGTAAGGGTACAAGCAAGTTCAACCATATAACTACCTTTTTCATTGTTGTGCAAAGTCCTGTTCAAACGAAGTATTCACCAAAATCAAATGCTGCGATGCATTTTACAGAAAAGGGTTTGTTGCTCGATATTTGATTATTTGAAAATGGAAATAAAAAACCTGAGAGCAGAAAACATGCAGGGGTCGATCTCATGACCTTTACATTACAAAGCTTGCTCTTGTTTACATCCTTTACCAATAAAGCCATCCCGACATTTTACAAGCACAACGTCAAAATGAGTTTCCAGTTTATTGGTCGCAAAAAAAGCTTATGAAAAACAGAACATGGAAAGATTTTAGATTGAGTGGAGATTATGCTAAGCAATGCAAACTCATTTGGATGTTATCATCCTATATATAGAATGAAGAATATTTCAAGTCAAAAAATCTCAGCTGAACTTTTCTTCTCGATTATAACTGATGCATTGTTATCCTTCACCTTTGGTCAAACAACAATAGAGTACAGCAAATATATTGACATATTATTATTTGAATGATAGCTTCTCAACAGATGCAGTTGGTGAATGTTCTCAGCATTTGAAAAGAATGATTTTTAATTGTGCAGAGGTAACCATACTCATATAGTGTGTCTGTATCAGCCTCTTGTACTAATGATGTAGCCTCTAGTACAGATGCTGTCCTGTTCTATGTCAGGCTATAGTACCGATGATATTCCACCCACGAGTCATGTTCTGTGTTAGCATCTAGAACTGATGACCCTCAGCATATTCTTGTTATGTAACAGATCCAAATACTGATGATGTTCCAACACCTAGTCCTGTCTGTATCAACCTCTATTACTGACGATGTTCCTCCCCCTAGTCCTGTTCTCAGCCTCTAGCACTTATGCTGATACTTTTCTTAGTCATGTTCTTTGTAAGCCTCTAGTACTATTGATGTTCCTCCACTTAGTCGTGTTCTGTATCAGCCTCTAGTACTGATGCTGTTCAACCAACTAGTCCTGTTCTGTGACAGCCTCTAGTACTGATGATGTTCCTCCATATAATCATGTTCTGTCAACCTCTATTACTAACGATGTTCCTCCACATAGACCTGTCCTGTCACCCTCTAGTACTAATGATGTTCCAAGGCCTAGCCCTGTTCTTTCCACCTCTAGTACTGGTGATTTTCTACCACCTAGTCCTACTATGTGTCAGCCTCTAGTACTGATGCTGTTCAACCAACTAGTCCTGTTCTGTGACAGCCTCTAGTACTGATGATGTTCCTCCATATAATCATGTTCTGTCAACCTCTATTACTGACGATGTTCCTCTGCATAGTCCTGTTCTCAGCCTCTAGTACTGATGATGTTCCTCTCCCCAGTCCTGTTATTTCAACCTCTATTACTAACGATGTTCCTCCCCCTAGTCCTGTTATCAGCGTCTAGTACTGATGATGTTCCTCCACCTAGTCATGTTCTGTCAACTTCTATTACTGACGATGTTCCTCCCCCTAGTCCTGTTCTCAGCCTCTAGTACTGATGATGTTCCTCTCCCCAGTCCTGTTCTTTCAACCTCTATTACTAACGATGTTCCTCCCCCTAGTCCTGTTATCAGCGTCTAGTACTGATGATGTTCCTCCACCTAGTCCTGTTCTTTCAGCCTCTATTGCTAACGATGTTCCTCCACAAAGTCCTGTCCTGTCACCCTCTAGTACTAATGATGTTCCAAGGCCTAGTCCTGTTCTATGTCAGCTTCTAGTACTGGTAATGTTCCTCCAACTAGTCCTGTTCTGTGTCAGCCTCTAGTACTGGTGATGTTCTTCCAACTAGTCCTGTTCTGTGTCAGCCTCTAGTACTGGTGATATTCCTCCAACTAGTCCTGTTCTGTCAGCCTCTAGTACTGATGATGTTCCCCTACCTAGTTGTTTTTTTATCATCTTGGTTTTGTCTTAAGTAATGATGAAGAAAACTCTAAAGCGGTCCGATTATGGCGGATGCAGTTCTTGCCTGGCCTTTCTCATTTTAACAGGCAGTGTGACATAGAAGATAAATAATGGTTTCCTCAACTCATCTTGCATTGGGGTAACCAAATGCTATTACATACGTATCATCAATGTTGTAAAACTGATCAGTTGAATTGACTTGAAACGTTTTAATTGGTTTATCAAATAGTTTCCTAAAGTATTATTTCACGGGGATTGGCCGTATCTATCATATATCTGTTCTCGATAAATCCATTTGACTGTAATCTCTCTCGCTCTCGAAGAAATAAAAAAAAAACATGTCGTGACGATAATACAAAACCAGAAGTGTTCCTGCGAGGCTGTTAGCCTGCATTGTTTGAGTGTTCTGGCAATTGATATTTAGCACGTTTAAGAATATAATCTGAAATCGATATCAGTTTTGCCCCGAGGTTCAATCGATCTAACGAAACGTGAATCTTTAAAACAATTGGTCAATAATATGGATTTGTCGACCAACGCATTTCATTGTTTCGAGATTATATGTGGGAAATATTGTGAAGGAGCCTTTCTTGTTTTCACTGAACGTCATATTATAAATGTATTTGAGGTCGTCGCGTCGGTAGTTTTTTATATGAACTGCTGATGGTTTAAAGATATGGGTTTTTGTGTTATTTGTCCCTGTTTCAAGATATAAGTGACATGCGTCTCCCAACATTAAGAGATTGATAACAGATGTGGAATATACAAGCTACATGTTATCATAAAGCAATATCAAATTTGTTTGCCAATCGGCTGGGAACTATTCATGAAGTTGCTGGCAGTGCTTTGAGATGTGTAGAACAGGTGTATTTAGCTTAAATAAGAAGAATGATGAAGTTGTTTAATTAACCGGAATCTCTTTTCTGTTAATCTAGAACATATTTTTATTGTATATTCATAATTGCGCTCTTAGACCTTTTAAATAAAAAATAAACATTATGACAAATCAGTGGAAACCTATCCTTCCTTGGTGCAATTATGTATTTTGTATACAATATAGTTCGTAGTCTATGGTTCGCGTTCAATGCCACCCTACTTGCATATAAATGAAAAGTGCGAACTTAAATGCAACAGGAACATTATTACTTTTGATTGTAGCAAGTAAAATTGAACCAAATATGTTATAATTTAAGAAAACAAGAAAACTTCCGAAACTCACATTCATACGATTCGAACAGGAATAAAAATTGGAACTATAGAAAATGCAAAGACACAATGAACCCTATAAGAAAAGGAATTGAAACCAAATGCTCAGGCTTAAGCTATTTCGATAGGTAACAGAAAAACAATGCATGTATTGCTTACAATTTCCTACGAGGGATTTAGTATTGAAAAGGTATGGACGTTTTATTGTACAGATTACAGATGCCAGGGTTATTTTCATGACCGGGCTATTTTGGCGATTTTGTTTGGTGCGGTGAATAAGGGGATAATGTAAAAACTAAACACAGTTTTCATCTTTAAGTATATAACTCTGTGTTCAGCTGTTTAACGCCTGATTAGCTTCGAGTCGTTTACGTAGATTTTCACAATTCTGATTTTACAATTGCTGGAGTATTTAAAAGATTTTCTTTAATTTTAACCTACAGAAGATCAGTTTGAATTCTTATACGTGTACTTTGAGTGTTGCATTTTAATAAAATAATGCCATAAATAGATCGGGTTAACTCAGTCGAGGATTTTTTAAGATTCTGTAACAAAATCCCAACCGAGACGTATCCCTGTTGTGATGTTACAGAATCTCAGCCCAAAACTTTAAGTATCCCGTCTGAGGACTCAAAATGATAATGACCTCTTCACTTCTTAAGCTACATTTGAATGCTTACGTGTAAAAATGTAGTCCGTTCTTAGATAGATGACAACGTATTTCACAGTGTAGATTATATTTTATCTACAACATCAAATATCTAACAACATCAAAACTATACATATAACAACAAAACAGAACATTTATAATGCAGATTGTCAATTTCAAGCAGTTAACGTGCGGATGAATACATCGCAGTGTAAACATTCCGCGAAATGTCACGTAAAGGTGCAAGACAGATCGGACGAGATAGAAAAATCTAGCATGGGGTATGACGTGGGATATCTCTGTCTGAGGTGCGAGAATAGATTATCTGGTGTAGGGGACAACACTCCTGTATGGTCACTGTTCATATGCATTTTTGTTCTCTTTCACCGATAAATAAAATACTGGCTCGTCATAACAGACATGTTAATTAACTGCTGGTAGCAATATAGAATAAACATGACATAAACACACTATACTTAAAATGCCTGTAAATATTAGAAATAAGCTAGTCGCTGGTGATTTACAGAAGCGGTGTTAAAAGATGAAAAGAAACATACCTGAATGGCAGAATGAATAAAAGGGTCTTCTGAAAGGCTATTTGACGCGTGCGTTATATTAAAGATAAGAATTAAACATAGGACATGGTAATCAAGCGTGAAATTATGTTAAATATGCTGGTTTTTAAATATTAATGAGACTATCACGGCTGTTATATCGGTAGACATTAGAGAACGGTTACCTGTGTTGATATACTGTCCGTGTTTCGCTCCCACGTCCTTGTAGACACGCTTGACTGCTAATGATTGTGAAAGTCAATATTTCTTTCGATACACTTTACACGAATGGGACGAACATATTCATAGGTACATATATGTATTACAATAATCAAATCAATTTAAAGGCGAGACGACGAACTGGTACGTATGTTTTAATAATGGGTTGTATATCAACAGTATCAGGATGTTTAAATGTAAAACATTTTACATGAATATAGAAATTATATGCCTTACGTACAGTTTGATGTAAGCTTATGTACATAATAATTTAAATTAGTATCTTATTATCTAACATAATTATCATTCAATTTCGCTTACTTCGTTTTCAGACCTGGGTAGGAGGACTGTGGTAGAAAGCGGTATCTACAAAGTGTCGACTGACATCATCAGGGGATTACAAGCGTTATGACGACCGTGAGTATTGAAACTAAAGTTTGTTCTTAGTCGTTACCGTTACAGACTATTATTCAGTTATAGTCGGATTGATCAAGTGGCAAAGCAACAAAGTAAAATTGGGCAGTTAAGAAGACCGTGGCTAACAAAACAGTAACTCAATACGACCTGGAGTCCAAAACAAGATGACAACAAAATGGTCTTGTTTCAGCTGCCATCTTGTAAATCAGTATAAATCATTTCAAGTCGTCATCTTGAGAGCGCCACCATCAAGATGCACCATCGGAGATGCTATTCATTGCATGGATCACATATGATACGGGAAACACATGGTCCAGGGAAGACAACTCCTGACATGTGTTGCTATATATATCTACGATAGTATACCGCAATAACGTGTTGCTCAGAATATACGGAGTTACCTCCCTTCACCTGTTAATTTTGTTCATGCTTCTTGTATCGGTACTAAATATAAATTGAACGATATTTTGTTCGGTTGTGCTATAATTATGCAAGGGATAAATAATATTTTAAAGTCTGATTGCATGGGTATATGATTAATTGATTGATGGATTTGATTTAAGTTCACAGTTTTAACACTTAAATGTTATTACAATACTTGTATATCTCTCCTGTATCTTTTGTTATTGAAACTAGACAGGAAGTTAAAACGTATCATCTTCCTCAGAATCATGAAGGTCATCTCAGAGGGTATTACAGGCACCTTTCCCCTTATCCTGTATTGTTACCTATGTTTCAGAACACTTTACACATGAATTGTCCTGAACAGTTCTGAACTGTATCTGACTCTAGTACTGATGATGTTCTTACACCTAGTCTTGTTATGTACCAGCCTCTAGTTTTGATGATGTTCCTACACCTAGTCCTGATCTGTGTCAGCCTCTAGTACTGACGATGTTCCAACACCTAGTCCTGTTCTGTGTCAACCTCTAGTACTGATGCTGTTTCTCGACCTAGTTCTGTTCTTTGTCATTCTCTAGTAATGATGTTGTTCCTCGACGTAGTTCTATTCTTAACCAGCCTCTTGTAATGATGCTGTTCCTCGACGTAGTTCTGTTCTGTACCAGCCTCTAGTAATATTGCTGTTACTCGATCTAGTCCTGTTCTGTACCAGCCTCTAGTACTGATGCTGTTCCACGACCAAGTTTTGTTCTGTGTCAACCACTGATGATGTTCCAATAGCTAGTCCTGATTTTCGTCTGGTCCTAGTATTGATAATGTTCCACCACATAGTTCTGTTCTGTGTCAGCCTCTAGTACTCATCCTGTTCCTCGACCTGGTTCTGTTCTGTGTCAGCCTCTAGTACTCATCCTTTTCCTTGACCTAGTTCTGTTCTGTGTCGGCCTCTAGTACTAATGCTGTTCCTTGACCTAGTTCTGTTCTGTATCAGACTCCAGTACTGATGCTGTTCTTTAACCTATGTCTGATCAGTACCCGCCGCTAGTACTGATGCTGTTTCTCAACCTAGTTCTGTTCAGTGTCAACCCCTAGCACTGATGATGTTCCACCACCTAGTCCTGTTCCGTTCCAGCCTCTTGTACTGATAATGTTCCTACACCTAGTCATATTCTGCATCAGCCTCTAGTACTAATGATGTTCCTACACCCTCCATGTTCCTGTTCTGTGTCAGTCACTATTACCGACGATGAACACCCACCTAGTCATTTTGTGTCCTCGACCTATTCCTGTTCTGCGTTAGCCTCTCGTACATACGATGTTCCCCGACCTAGTCCTGATCTGTGGCAGCTTGTCGTACAGATGGTGTTCCCCTATCTAGTCCTGTTCTGTGGTAGCCTCTCGTACATACGATGTTCTCCTATCTAGTCCCGTTCTGTATCAGCCTCTCGTACATACGATGTTCTCCTATCTAGTCCTGTTCTGTGGTAGCCTCTCGTACATACGATGTAATCCTATCTAGTCCTGTTCTGTGGTAGCCTCTCGTACATACGATGTTCTCCTATCAAGTCCTGTTACGTGGTAGCCTCTCGTACGTACGATGTTACCTATATAGTCCTGTTCTGTGGTAGCCTCTCGTACATACGATGTTCCCCTATCTAGTCCTGTTTTGTGGTAGCCTCTCGTACGTACGATGTTACCTATCTAGTCCTGTTCTGTGGTAGCCTCTCGTACATACGATGTTACCCTATCTAGTCCTGTTCTGTGGTAGCCTCTCGTACATACGATGTTCTCCTATCTAGTCCTGTTACGTGGTAGCCTCTCGTACGTACGATGTTACCTATCTAGTACTGTTCTGTGGTAGCCTCTCGTGCATACGATGTTCTCCTATCTTGTCCCGTTCTGTATCAGCCTCTCGTACATACGATGTTCTCCTATCTAGTACTGTTCTGTATCAGCCTCTTGTAAAAACGATGTTACCCTATCTAGTCCTGTTCTGTGGTAGCCACTCGTACATACGATGTTCCCCTATCTAGTCCTGTTCTGTGGTAGCCTCTCGTACACACGATGTTCCCCTATCTACTCCTGTTCTGTGGTAGCCTCTTGTAAAAACGATGTTCCCCTATCTAGTCCTGTTCTGTGGTAGCCTCTCGTACATACGATGTTCTCCTATCTAGCCTTGTTCTGTGCCTTCGATTTAATTGCATGGAATACAGGGTGCGGGGAAGACAACTTCTTACATGTGTTTCTATTGTACATATTTTCAGCCCGTTGTGTTGTCACAGAAAAAGGAAAAATAAGTTTAATAGACAAACGTTTGAACACAATCTGCAATATAGTAAAGTAAATACATGATTTCGGCATCTTGAATATCAATGTAGACAGGTGGGAATGAATTTTGAACAAGAATCTAGGAGAATTTCTATTTCAATTCAAAATAAAACGATTCTTGTTTTTCTATAAACTCTCAATATGAAATTCCGATCAGACTGCAGTCAAGATAAGCCCAATAATACTGACGGAAAACTCACTTTTTTCTGTATCAATATGTGGTTCATATTAAAATAAAGGATCAGGAAAAGACCAATGAACGACTTTTCAATTCAAATGATGGCCGATGGCAAACCTCAATAACTTGTTGCCCAGTATATACAGAGTTATCTCCCTTCAGCTGTTAATTTTGTTCATGGGTTTTGAGTCTGTACTGAATATGTATGCCAGAGACAGTTGATATATTTATGTCTGAAATACCTGATTGCATGTGTATATGATTTATTGATTGATGGATTCGATACAAGTTCACAGTTTTAACGCTTAAATGTTATTACAAGGCAAATGAAACTTCGCGGCTCTGGCAAAAAATAACCAGGAATAACTTTATGACCATATGACGTGTACAACTCTCCTGTTTCTTTTGTTATTTGAACTTGACAGGCGGTTAAACTGTTTCTTTTGTTATTTGAACTTGACAGGCGGTTAAACTGTTTCTTTTGTTATTTGAACTTGACAGGAGGTTTAACTGTTTCTTTTGTTATTTGAACTTGACAGGCGGTTAAACTGTTTCTTTTGTTATTTGAACTTGACAGGCGGTTAAACTGTTTCTTCTTCTTCGAAATCATAAAGGTCATCCCAGGGGGTATTACATGCACCTTTCCACTTATCCCGTATTTCTACCTATGCTTCAGAACAAATAAGACATGAGTTGTCTTCCTGTTTATCTTTAGTACACTGCTAAGTTCTAAATGGACGATGTTGCCATATGGCGCAGTAAAAACGTTTACTTTGATTTGCTCTGTACATCGATCAAACAAATGTTTAAACAGGTTATTTCTTCCTCGTATTTCTGGTGAATATTTAGATCACAATGTTGACTCCAAAACAACCGGTGGTTCGGTCCCTGAGGCTGTTGGTAACCTTGTAGCTGGACTTTATTTCTGGCACAGTTTAAATGGAATACTGTATTAATATTTGTAAATCTGTAACGATATAAAGGGTCTTTTAGACACTATTCCCATTTCCTTGTATTTTTGTATTTTTTAAAAATGTATTATTGTTCTTGTGTCACCAGTACCACTAAAGGGATGAAATTGCCATATGATGTAGTGAATATGTTTACTTTTTCTTTGATTTGCTCTTGCATCGACACAACTGAATTTCTAAAGAAGAACTTCTTATTTATTCTTTGTGTTACATTGATATCTTGGACTGTCAATGATTTCAAGTCGCCGTCATTTAAAATTAAAAAAGTATTTACCTCTGTGCATAGACATTACATTTTTTTAGATTGATTCCTACCTCGGAGTTCAGGTCTATACATCCTTCGAACAGCTGAGGGTAGTAAGCAGTGCTAATAAGTTGCACTTGCATTTGATTCGGTTTCATGGAGTTTTATTGATAAGGTACTAGAATATTTTAATTTTGGGGTGGACATAAGACAAAGGGTTAAATCTTTACACACTAATGTATTTTCTTATGTTAATCAAGGTGGCAACATTTCTGCACCTATCAACGCGGATGCCGTCAAGGTGATCCTATCGCCCCATATATTTTTATACTTTGTGTTGAGGTCCTAGCATCAAAAATAAGAAATAATGACCATATTAAAGGCATCCAATTGGAAAATATAGATATTTTAAATATACAATATGCAGATGATTCTGGGTTGATACTAGATGGTACTGAGAGGTCTCTTAAGGAATCTATCGATGAATTGAATAATTTTGCAAATATCTCTGGGTTAAAGATCAATACTACAAAAACACAGGTTATATGGATAGGCAGTAGAAAATATAGTGACCAAACTTTCCTTCCAGACTTGCATCTACAATGGGGGAAGGATAAGTTCAACTTTTTGGGTATAGATTTTTCCGTAGATTTAAGTGAGATTCCAAGAATGAATTTTGACAAAAAGATTGTTAAACTTAAAGCTCTTATTAATAATTGGAATAGACGGAGTTTGACTCCATTAGGTAGAATTAGTATCATAAAGTCTTTGTTGATTTCCCAACTTAATTACCTGTTTATCACTTTGCCAAATCCATCCGAAAAATATATTGCTAAGTTGAATTCTTTGTTATTCAATTTTCTATGGAATGGCAAAAGTC